TAATAGTATATGTATTTACGTTTTAAGTTCTTGAACGTTTTAACAAACTTTTTTTTGAGAAACCCTTCTCTGAGAGCACACGTATTGGGGTCATGTCCGTGTGTCGGATCCAGGATATGTCGCGTGTATTTGGTGTACACCTATACAAGTATGTACCTGTTTTGACAGGTGTGGTATAGACACTTGCAAATCTCCCCTACACATTAAAAAGGGTTTCAAACGAGGTCTATCTGTATACACGCATCATTAGGCAATAAAAAATCGCATGCTTATTCAGAGTTGAAAGCTGCTTCGAAGAGCATTGAAGTTGTACAGTGTAAGTAGTTTTACTGCATCACTTTAAAGTAGTTAGAGATTAAGTTAAGCATGACAGAAGAAACCACACGTAATTTGAACCTCGATTGAACAGTACATTTTCCCCTTTATTATCGTCACTTCATATATGTTGCAAGTTTTATTAAATTTGATTTATAGTGCTTTATAAACCTGTTTGTGCCATACCTAATACACAAAAATACTTGCTGCGTTACGTTAAGCAAACTACAGAAATAGGATAAATATTTACAAAAAAGAAGAAAAAAAATGTGGACAGCATATCAATCTCCCTCATTCAAAAAAAAAATATATATATATAACTACATGACAATATTGAAAACTTAAATTATTTGAAAATTGAACATGAGAGGAAACAAGTATTAATTATAACATTTTAGAGTTTCAAAGTTTACAATTCAAAGTTTATGTGTTTAAAAAAAAACAAACAAACAAACAAAAACCAAACAAACAAACAAACAAACAATTAAATCTCTATATGTTCGTAACCTGACATGCAGTCATCCAAAACTTCTTGATCATCCTAAGGACTCCTTTATAATTTTTTTTGAAAATTTGACTATCATTGTTATCACAAAATGTGTCACTGCCAGTAGTCAGTACTGAAAGACGTATTACAGTGTATTTATAACTCACTTCAAACCTGCATGATCATTTTCATCCGTATTCATGGTATTAGGTTTCTCTTAATTGAAAGGGGGGGGGGGGGGTGCTTAAACCCAAAGTGTAAATAAAACTAAATATCGGACTGTTGCCGTGTTGTATTAATTGACGACTGCATGTAGTGTGGGATTTGCATACCCCCCCCCCCTTCCCCGATCGGTAATTTTCTTCTTTTTTGGTTGTAATCTTTTTTCCATGACTATTTTAGGTTTTGGGGTATTCCTTGCAATTCATCCTTCTTATTTTATTTTAGAATATGTATATGATTATCGCGTGAGCTATCTCAGAGGAAATTTCTTACGAAATAACAAAGTTTAGCTTGTTAAAGTTGCACACGTTTACTTTCACTTTCTCTTTTAAACTGTGTGTGTGCACAGAAGAGATTTTTTAGTCAGACATCGATTGCAAATCATTTGTGTTCTGCCCTTTTCATTACGCTGTCCATAAGTTTAGGACCCGAAAGACTGATTGCAGAATGAATAAGCAAAGAGAGACAGAGAAGAAAAGAATGAAAAATACTCAATTTAAGATGTCCCTGATGTACGTACTTCTTGTGTTTTTATGTACAGGTGCTGAAAGTAGCAGGTTACTTTTTTTGTGATCAGAAATGTATAAAACGTCGAGTGCTTTCCTAAATTAGTGTGACATGGCTATGACTGCTGAAACTAAATTTTTCAAAATATTAACAAGGTAAAAAAAAAGACAATAGATTAAAGTCTTCCAGGCAGATATTTTACATGTTTATGATAGAACAATGTATAATTATAATGAGAGCGTAATACTGGCATTATACTGCATAGATCTACATCTTGGCTCAAATGTGTAATCCTCAATGGTCACATAATGAGGGAGAAAATTTAATCAGAATTTATCTTGTACATGTATCATCCATACATGCATGTGTTTCATATATGGAGAGAACTTGGACTGTCTTACTAGTGAGATGTGATAGAGTTATAGTATATCATTGAGGGAGTCCAGTTCCCCTCGAGTAAGTTTATTTCCCTCCACTTTACCTCGGGAAATAGGCTTGCTCATGGGGAACTTGAATCTTGCTGACTCCCTAAATGATGTACTTAAACTGTTTTTTTTAATAAAAATAAGACTAATTGACTCGTAAAGTTTTGCAATTCATTTTATGCACAGTTCAGTTATCAGATGTGCAATGGACATATGGTCGGATTACCCAGTGTCTTAGTGTAGATAAAGTTAATGAATAAATTCAACAGAAAAGAATGAATCTGCAACATTAGTCTGTTTATTAAACCTCAATGCCTCGTAATATGTAATTTTAATTGAGCAGTGTTATGAATATTCATGATTTCTATGTTCCCTTATACATAAAGATTACATGTTCTATATTTCTCACAATTTTGTTAATCTTCAATGTTAAATCATTAACATGATTAAGTTATCATACGCAGACAGTCTTTATCTGATAATTGATTCAAAGAAGCATGGTGTTGGCCCAAGCAAATTAAATTAGGAAGGACAAACTTGCTGCTAATCCCTAAAAATTTTTTGTTTTGGCCTATAAATTTAAAAAAAATTATCGTAAATATTATGCATCGTCTATTATAAATCCGTAATAATATACTAGATATATTGTTGTACACATGTATTATGAAACATGGCAGATGCTTTATTTTCCTGTCAATATATCCTTCAAAGGAAACGAAAAAGGTTGAAAAATTAAGTACAGGATATGATTTAAAATTATGAACTATTTACAATTAATTCTGATAGTCCCTTTACCTAGTTGACCAGATAGTTACATGTTTGTATGTACAGGGTGTAACCATGTTTAAAAAAACATTCATCTTACATATATGTGAGAATTTGCTTTAGACAATTTTTAACTCTTCTGAGCCAAAGGCTCAAAGAGCTAATGCTATGGCCATTTGTGTGGTGTATGTAAACTTTTTAGAATATGGGTCATAACTCAAGAACCCCTTGGCCAATTATTGTCAAATTTATCACAGGGTATCCTTGGCTCATGGGCTCCCGTTTAGTCTAAAACTAGGGTTGTGACTCTTAAACAAGGGGAGATAATTAGGAAAATAGAAACAAAAGTACTGGTTGGTAAAAAATCTTCTCAAGAACCACTGGGCAGATTATCATCAAACTTACACAAAAGAATGAGGATATGTTGTAGATTAAAATTTGCATGGGAAATCGCCCTGGGGCAAAGGACGTAGTCTCAAGGTCACTTCAAAGTTGACCAAAAATTACATTTTATTAAAGTGTCGATATTTTGTTTACTATAAGGACTAGGATCATCAAATCTTGTCAGTTGATGCATCTAAGGACCTCATATCATGTTGACTCAAAAGTAGGTCAAGGAGGCCTACTATTTAAATTTTTTGGCCATTCTTTTTCAAAATGATTTAAAGGCATTTTTTGAACAATTTAAGGCCTATGATCATCAAACTTTGTCAGTTGATGTATCTTGGGTCCTCAGAGTACATTGACTAAAAAGTAGGTCATCTTAACCTACTTTTTGAATTTTATCTCTAATCTTTTAGAAAACAATTAAGGTCATTTATAAATTTGAATACTGAGAGGTTTAGAATCATTAAATCTTGTAAGATGATGCATCTTGGGGCCATAAAACATATTTTTTAAAAAGTTGGTCACAGTGACCTACTTTTTGAACCTCGCAGGCATTTGATTTCAAAGCATTTTAGAGGAATAATTTGGACATTTTAAGGTCTATAATCATGAAACTTTGTCAGTTGATGCATCTTGGGTCCTCAAAAAATATCAACTAAAAAGTATTTCACCGTGACCTACTTTTGAAAATTTATGGCTTTAATTAAATATTTCAGGTACTAATTGGCTTAGAATTATCAAACTTTGTCAGTTGATGCATTTTGGGTCTGCAGAGTTAGTCGACTAAAAAAAAGGTCACTGTGACCTTTTTTTTAAATTTTATGGCTTTATTTAAATATATCAGGTAATTATTGACTTAGAATCATCAAACTTTGTCATTTGATACATCTTGGGTCCAATAATTTGCAGTTTCCGTTCATTTTCTTTGCAGAGGTTGCATACTGAAATGAAATCTGGTATACAGATTTATCATAAGAATATCTAGGTCAAGTTCTGTTTTCATTACGATCGATCAATTTTTGACAGAGTTATGCCCCTTGGACTTACGTGTTTCACAAACATCTCTTGTTTTTGTTTTGTTTTACATCTGAAGGCAATTCCAAGTTTTTTTTTCTGCTTAGCATCCACGCATCTGTCAAAAACCTACCTAACTACATGTATTTGCACAAAAAAAAACACACAAGCCAAAAAATAAAACTCCAACTTTATAGTCATAAAAATAACGTCATTCAAAAGAATTGGTATCATTACATGTAACCTATCTTTCTCGTAGAGAGATCTATTCTTCAGCAAATGCTAACAATAAAGTTATATGCCTTTGACATATTGTAGGCAAATATTTCAAGAAATTAACAGAATTTAAAGATTTTGACCAGTTTAATTAATTATAGGACTCAAGATTTTGTTTGGGTTTTTTTGAGCCCACTTGAGCTGAAAGCTCAAGTGAGCTATTTTGATCACCTGTTGTCTGTCTAACTGTCTGTCTGTCCATCTGTTAACTTTTCACATTTTCAACTTCTTCTCAAGAACCACTGGGCCAATTTTAAGAAAAGTTGGCACAAAGCATCCTTGGGTGAAGGGGAGTTTAAATTGTAAAAATGAAGAGCCTATCCCCCTGCACAAGGAGAGATAATCTACAAAAGACAAAAATAGAGTGGGGTCATTAAAAATCTTCTTCTCAAGAACCACTGGGCCAGAAAAGCTGAAACTTATACAGAAGCATCCTGGGGTAGTGTAGATTCTAAATTGTTCAAATAATGACCCCCGGGGGTAGGATGGGGCCACAATAGGGAATCCAATTACATCGAAATTTGTAATTAATTACTGTCAATTATCATTACACATTACCAACACTACACTGTAGCCTAATTAGTTGATTGAATATCTTAATTATCTATTATAAACAGGATCAACGTAGAATACTGTAAGCCATGTTTGCACTTGTGCTTTTCGACTTGGATGGCTGCACAGCTATAATTGATGCCAAGAAATGTCAAGTCCCTGACATTAAAGCCTTAGTGAAAGGACAGCATGTTGATGTCAAATATCATAAGGAGACATTCAAAGTTGAAATCCTGGAGTTATCTGGTAAGATTTCAGTTATCATGATTATGTGAAAACATCACTTTATTTATAAGTTTGTTAGAAAATTCATTTGGTAAATGTTAATTGATTTTATTTGGAACACCAGTAAATAAATTGTGGAATTCAGGATTCTGGTGTTAGTGCAGGGCTATATCTATCATGGATTGAAAATGCATTAATTATAAATTTGTGAAAATATTCTCTGTTCTTGTACATGTGTCAGGGATTTATCAGTACCTTCTCAGGGGCCGAAATTCGGCCCCATTCCCAATTGAAAATGAGTTAAGTTTTTCCCAATTTGGCAGTATTTTTCCCAATCGGTGAACAATGCTTTTATATTTAATTATCTTGGAAAAATAGTCAGATTGTGTGTAATTTTCATCTATTTAACTCATTTAGCAAAACTACAGTCATAACACATGTTTAAAAACACTGTAAAAACATCGCCAACTTTTAATCCGAATTTCCTCCGTTTTTCTGAAAATGGTGATATTGTGTAATTATATAGATTTATTAAGTTATTTCCACCTACTCAATTGATCTACGAGTGAATGATAAGGACTGTCTGCATTATTTCAGATAGAAAAATATATCTTCAATGCATTAATTAATACATATTAAAAGAGGACTTTGAGAAAATATGTACTTAGTATAATTTTTGCAGGAGGTTTATAATCTCCAGGAACAGATTCTATAATGACATAAATTGGAATCTCATACACACATTTACTACCCTAAGTTGTATAAATACTTTACACTTATTGAAGTCAATTTTACTTTTATTAGTCTATTATTCATAATTGATCTTATATGATGAAGTATTTAATTGTCTGTGTTTGCCCAAGTTAGAGTTCATGCTGAAATGTTAAATGAATTACTACTGAATACATGATTTAAGCAACATTTTCAATTTTTCCCAATTTCATCAAATAGCCGATATTTTTTTCCCAATTCCCCAAAATGGCGTTTCCCAAAATAGGCTGATAAATCCCTGTGTGTACTAAGTGCATGGTTATGAAAAAAAACTTAAGATGACCAAGGGTGCCTCTTTTGAAATTCATTGCCCATGAGTGGGTCAGGGGTCCTGACAGGTGTACGATAGGGCAAGCTAATTAAAATTAGATGTTCTGAATCTGCTACCACTTCAGAACATCTAATTTTAATTAGATTGAGGGTAGGGCCACAAACGGCAATCAAGCCAGCATATATTTATTAGGGCTTAGCAATAATAACTATATTCCAGTATATAGCGATTAAGTTAGCAAAAAATATCTTTTGTGATGTGTTTTTATACACCCGTCTTTAGACGGGACGTATTATGTTATGGCAAATAAATTTTGTTTAATATGATATTTTTATTTAAATTTTTGAAAATATCAACTAATTCAGAGCATCATGTCTCACAAATCTGAAAGCTTGAGGGGGGAGAAGTCTGCAGATGGGCATTTGTCAAGCTCTAACACAACCAGTTGAGGATCTATAATGTAATATTTGTTGTAATTAATGCCTACACCACAGGAGATGTATAAATAAATGTTATAAGAAATGGAAAAATCCTTATATCAAGGTTGACATGATTTTCTTGCACTCTAAACTGTTTGTGACAATTGAACAATATTTGACGGGGGTATCATGCTGTGGCGGAGCACTTTATTCAGTACGGATATACTGGCAAACTGTTTGGGCTTTAGATTTCCTCAGTAAAATATGAATTCAATAGGTCAGGAATGTTTTCAATCGTACCAAACAGTACCAAGTTGTAAGGTAGCTGTAAGGTAGCTGTTGTATGGTTGCATTTTGTTCAAAAACTGTAGTGAAGTCAACAAGACCTTTTTTGTAACACACTCTGCTTGTAAATGAAGGTTAATAAAATGAGAAAAAGAGCATTATAACTGTCATTTAAAATATTGCAATACACATCGCAATACAGTTAAAAACATTACAATATATCGCAATTCAACATTCCCAGCTGATACCCAGCCCTAATATTTATCATGAAGTGCAATTGTGCTATGAGAAATATGCCAGCCTGAAGTGTTCTTGTTCCTTTCTTCAAAAAAGGAATATAAATAACTTTATTTATTTTCAGAGTCCAGAGCTGTTCTGAACCAGTATGAGGATGATTGGTCCTCCAGCCATAGGTCACTGGCCCTAGATAAAGAAAAGAAAAAGAGAAGAAACAAAAGAAATGGATATCTAGCTGTTTGGCCACATGATCAGGTAGGTTATAGTTTCATTTATTGTGGGGTCTACTGAATAGCATACACAGAGTCAATTTATCTTAGGCTGGTGGTAGGATGGGGCACTGTAGGGGATAAAAGATTTTATACATGGAAATGTATTTAACAACTGGATGTGTTTGTGAAACACTGATGCCCAGTATGGCTGCTCATGTCAAAGGTTAAAATTTCTCAAAAGCAAGTCAAACTCCAAGGTCAAGGTCAAAAGTGTCAAAATTATTGGTACTCAAAGCGAGTTCTTGTCACAAAGAAAAAATAACTTTAATATGAAAATCCTAGCTCCAACCATTCAAAACTTATGACTAAGGTGTAAGTTTTTTCCAAAGAAGATCAAATGCAAAGGTCAAAAGGTCAAAAAATTGTGTCTGAGGCCAAAATAAAAAATACCTTTGTTTCCCCTAACGCGACCGACCCACTTAAATCATGCCGACTGAAAAGTTTTTTTAATAAGATTATTCAAATATTTTTTTTTTATTGTTTATCAAATTCATAAAATACAATTTCATCGAATTCCTTTTTTTATCAGAATGGCGGCTTTTGTTTTACTCTCATTTGGCGCCCACAACTTGTGGCACAGAGGGTTAGTTTTTGTTATAAAACAACGGCGAGTATCAATCTTATTATATATATTTAACTTATTAGAATCATACACTCTTGAGACATTTCTTGAATTAAATGTACCATGACTAAGGTGTGTAAAGATGGTATTTACAAATTATTTACAAGAAATTCTAAAATTAATACGTGGTAAGCATGGCAAAGCCTGCCTCATGAGCAGATGAGGGGTATACAAATCAATAAATTTCACTGCATTTCATTCGTTTTGATGTATTGTATGATTCTATTTTTACTATATAGGACCATAGTTGTAAATTTGTCTTTGAATAATTATTTCATCTTAATAAATATAATTCAGATGTCATTTCTTCATTCCTTTTATCTATGGGATATTAACTTCGTGACTATAACAATAGATATATTTTAGATATGGTTTAATTTAATTAAATATTGTTTATACATGTACACTATTTCCTAATAGTGTCGAAATCTTTAAAATTGGTGAATGGTACGGCTTCCTGAGACGTCCAGTGTATTTTTCTTTAGTTACGCCCTTGAAATAGATTGTTTCTTTGATTTAAAATCCTTTAGAAATTTGTTGGGCCGGTGGAGGGCTCCTAATTTAGACTTTTACTCGGCACTTATGGCCACTGATCAGTAAGGGATCTTTTTCGTGCCAACATCTACATGTATACTGCGACACTGGACCTGCGTTTTTTATGGTCTCATTCGTCTGACCAGTCTCCACATCCCTTATCGGGACCTGTGACTTAGAGTAAGCTCCTGAATTACGTCATGACTCCAAAACGAAACATTAGAATCACTGCGCCACGCGAGGCTATTGACATTTTGTCTGTGTAAGTACCCTAAGATGATAGTAGGTTTGAAAAATATACTCGGATGTCCAATGGTTGAGTATTTGCAAATCTTGTCTTTTTGTAAGTATTCGATTTCAAAAAATGTACGCTGGCCTGAGATATTTCACAAGTTCAAATGAATAATATTTGTAAATTAATTTACCATACATGTTGCTTCATTTGTATGATATTCGGTTTAAAAATCGGTTTCCTTTGTTCTTTCTTATTTATAAAGATATTCAATTTTTCAAAATGTATTTTCAAAACTGCTGTCAGAAAAAAAAAAATAATTTACCTACCTACCTACCTGACTTGAGATTTTAGGGTCGGGTTAATGAAAACAAAGATATTTTAATGATGGCCTGAGGAAATGTCTTATCATTAGGAATACACATTTAAAGTATTAAAGTCCTAGAACTAACTGTTCTAAAAATCAACAATAATGCCAAATTATTTTACCATACATTTCTTAAACACATCAAGAAGTATTTATAGACAGAATCTTTCCAGTTAAGCAAATATATTATCTGATATACAAGCATTTATAATACCCATAACTTAATTTTGTAGGAAGACATAATTCCTTCAACATCTGACATCAACCAGAACAGGGAGGAGGAGCCTGAAGAACCAGTATGTAAATTTTATCAAGATTCTTAGGGATTCTCAGCCAAATTGTATTGTTCATCAGTTTGCTCCTAATTTGCATAAAACATTACCAATTATATTAAATGGTGAATGAAGTTTCAAGAGTTATCTCCTCACTGTGGTGTACATCTTTACCCAATTTTTGTCGTCAAGTTAGAAAACTTGATTGATAAAAAGTATAAAACAAATAAGAGTTATAAACAACCATCCATAATATCACAAAAATCTTTAAAATGACTTGCTAATCTTCATTTATGATTTGAAGTTGTTTTGATAAAAAAAAAAACTTAAATCTTATTTTGATGATTGTAGAGTGAAAAAGTTAATCTGCCTAAGGAACCAGAAAGAAACAATGCCAAAGAACGAAAGGTAAGGCATAATCAACATGATCAATGCAATTTACAAAATGCAGATTCGAATTTGCTCAAACTTCCTTATTAAAATTCTCAATTTTCATGTACCAGTAGGAAAATATATATTTACATTTAATATATTTAATATATTAAAAGTCTTAATGATAAAACAAAACTGTAGATACTGAAATTGATGTGTTAGCATTTCTAAGTGGTATTAGGGTTATTCTACTAAAAATTATTGGAGGGGGCTAGAACACCACTGATTTTTATCCCCAACTAGAAGTAACAATTCTAAATCATATATAAACTACACTTTTATTAGTTCAACTGATATGCAAGCACCCCATGTAGTGTAGATAGAGTTGACTGATTTTGCAGTTTCAGTATACACAACCAAACTTTTGCAATTGTGTGGGAGGTGGGTACTGCCAAGCTAAATTTCCTTGACAAGCACAAAAAAAATCAGAACATTATTATAGAAGGGGTACAAGCATAAGGTAGCTTATGTTTTTTTTAGTATCCTATTTATATATTCACTAAATTCTTTATAAAAGGGGAGGAGGGGGGAGGGGTAGAGCCAAACAGAAATCCTTAACAAGCAGAAGAAAGAAAAAAAATGTCATCAGAGGTTTTAAGCAAATGTAGTTTTTCCTATGGTATTCTATACATGTACATTGGCAAAATTTTTTTGGAAGTTCAACAATAGGTGTTCAAATTTTTACATGGAGTAAATGGAAAAAAAATCTGGGGAAGGGGGGATATGACTATAAAGAGTGATCACAGTTTTAAAATTGGAATACTCAGGGAAGATCTTTAAAACTCTTCTTCTCAAGAACAGCAAGTCTTTGAAAAGTCATATTTATATGGAAAATTCCTTATGTAGTGTACATTCAAGTTTGTTAAAATCATGACACCTAGAGAAGAGTGGGGCTGCATTGTGTGATTTTAACTATGTTTCCCAAACAAAATCTGATTGGCTTATACTTATATGGCTGTATCTCTTATAGTTTTCAACGAAAATGTTTGAGATTTCTTACATAAGTATTTATTGTGAATCTCTTTATGAGGAATATGTGAAATATTTAGAAACCATGGGCATGAACTTGCTCTGAAATCTGATTGGATAACACTCAAAAACTATACCAGCATTGTTTTTCTATTAAATACTTTTGATAATAAAGTGTTGATTTATTACACAAAAGAACTGACTAATTTAATGAAACCTGTAGGAAATGGGGCCCACAAGGGAGTGGTTGAGTGTTTGTGGAACATCTATAACAGTTCCCGATACAACTGGGACTAGTTTACATGTAACATAGGAATATATCAAAAAAATCTGATAGAGAACGGAAGGGCCAAAGTGAGAAATGTAAGCGTTCTCTGATGATGATATTAACAATGTATAAAACTTGTTTTAGGGCTCCAATGGGAGAAAGATTACCATTCTGTATGAAGGATCTGCTGAGAATCAGTCGAACAATGCCAGTCCACAGCGTGCTCCATGCTATCTTCAGGAATTAAGTACAGATGAGGCTGAAGTTGTTGAACTCCAAATGAACTATTTCAAACAGAACAAAATCTGCACCTCATCTCAAACAGAAAAAGTTGTGGTGATCCAAGATGAGCAAGAAATTGTAGACCTTCTTTCCAGCAACAAAAAGTGTCATCACAAAGCCACCCAAATGGATAATGACTCTAGAGACATGTACCAAGTCAGAGAAATTTCTACCCAAACTGATAACAACATGCAAACAGAGGCCCAGGATTTGACTGCTGTGAACCTTAAGCTTGACGAGATTTTGAGCCTTCTACATGGAGCAATAGACAATTCTATGAGAGTCAACAACGTTAGTGAAATTGTACGATGGGTGACAGCAAACACCTCGACACCTCAACCAGGCATGCCAACAGTATCAATTGTTCCAGTTGAGGAGTCTTCAATTCTGGAGTTGCCTATAAGGGAAGAAAACAAAACATCACCAGTAATTTCCACTGAAGCAGTAATGAGGGAAGAAGAGTATGATCACTGTGATTCTTCTCCTCCAGCAAAAAAGGCCTTATTTGAAGTAAATGAAGATGTCGAGACAGAAGAGGAGCAACCTAGAGAAACTGGAGAACAACCCAGTGCTCCAGATCGCGAAGTTCGTGCTCCACTGATGGACGTCACCCACAGAGTCAGCAACAGAAAGCATGTTAGTGAAGACAAGGTTCTTACCCTGGAAAACAAGCCATTGGAACCAATTATTGAAATCAAAGATGTTAGTGAAGTTGTGCCAGGGGAAGTCCAGTTTAGAATGAGACGGGATATCCTTGCCGATGTCCAAACTAGTGCTTGTTCAGATGGAAATTTTCTGTGGCTTTTGACCAGGAAGCTGTTTCATGATCATGAGTTGCGAGGGAAGAATTTCTTTGGACGCAAAGGACGACCCCCAATTTCACCTCGGCGTAGCAAATGCCTCAAGCACGCATACATTGAATGCTGTGGAACAAGCTACAAGGAATTTACGAAAGCTGTGAGCAGCATCAACAATGGAATTCGCTCACTTAGCCGTTAACTTCAAAAGTGAAACTTGAGAGTGTTTGAAATCTTACAATGACCTCAATCTTAGTCTCAGGGACTTGTATTATCTTGTATATTGTACAACAGAGTAGAACTAAAAAAAATGGACTCTATGCTATATCTCATGCTGTCAAACTGTATTTATTAATCATATTTTATTTATTATTTAATGAATAAATTTCCTAATTCACTTTTCATGCATGCATTTTTTTCTGCATAAAAGTTCTCTATTCATGAATTGAATTTGAAACAATTTCATTTCGTTTTATGCAGTGTAGTTACTTGTACACAACAAATTCATTCATATCAGTTTCTGTGATTGCAGATGCTGGATTTTGTCTGCTAGCTTTGTTTATAATTAATTACAGTGTCTTACACCGTATAGTAGGATATTGCATTTGAACTAAATAAAAAAAAAAGATCATAAAAATAATTGATACATGTACCAAGGTAATAAATTTTATATTCCTGTTGCTATAGTCCCTACTACCATATTTACACAAGTACAACTTCTGCTTGACCTCCTAAGGTTTTATGTCTCTCCTTTTTGACCAACTTGACAATTTGCATTCTGATGAAGACCATCTCTGATAGAAACCAGACAACAATATAAATCTACTTCAAAATGTGTTGGTGATCTGATGACTTTTTAGCTAACCTGAGCTGAAAACTCGATTGAGTTTTTCTGATTATGTTTTGTCTGGCGTCTGTCTGTAAACTTTTCACATTATTGACTTCTTCTCAAGAACCAATGGGCTGATTTTAACCAGAGTTGATACAAAGCATCTCTTGGCTAAGGGGTTTCAAGGTAATTCAAATAAAGGGTAACACCCTCTTTCAAGGGGAGATAATAAAGAATTAGTGAAAATTTTGTGTCATCTTTCAAAAATCTTCTACAGAACCATTAGGCCAGAAATGTTTAAACTTATGTGAAACCTTCATTACATAGTGTAGATTCAAATTTGTACAAATCATGATCCCGGGGGTAGGGTGGGGATCAAAATTTTACATGGAAAAATTTGAAATCTTCTTCTCAAGTACAACAAAGGTGTGATCAGTCATATTGATATGGAAGCATCATCAGCTAGTGCAGATTCAAGTTTGTTTAATTGATGACCCCCAGGGATAGATGGGTCCACAATGGGGGATCCCCCCCTCCCGGTAACTTTTCAATACTGAACTGAGTTGTGCTTTTACCTAGCCAATGTGCTCCGGTAAGCAATGTGGCCCATGGGCCTCTTGTTTATTATAACTTAAGATCCAGAGGCTCTATTGAATACCATGTGGTACTTGTTCCTGAGAATCTTCTGAAATTTTAACCCCAAGGTATTGGTTTCCACTTCATATTGAAAGTTTTGTGCCAATTAAATTACTGTTTCCATCTAAATAATCTTGGTATTAAAACAGAGACATTCTTAAAATCAATCAAGAAGGAATATTTAGCCATATTAAATCCTGAGAAGAGGACCCATGGAGCACAATGAATATGTGCTAGTTTACCATGTTTACAGTAGAAAATACATAACTAAGTAGAATTTTTCAACATTTATGTATAAATATTGTGTCTATATACAGTACAATTTAAATTGTATCAAAGACATCAGCTAAGATAAAAAATATGTTTCAAACACCAAACAACTGTAATTCTAGAGAATATTTTAATAACCGTTTTGATGACTCGGTGTTCAAAGGGAGTAAGATGAAATTTATGGTAAACAAAAAACTGAATTTTAAAAATAAATCATTACTAAAAATTTAATAAATTGGAAGTGTTTTTCAAAAGTATGGAGTACTCAAACCAAACATGAATGGAAAATCAATGTTATCTTGAACAAAAACATGAAATGAAAAATGCTTACAAGAGTTCTGACTTTTGTAAACTACAGTAATTGACAATACATTGAATACAATGATGATCTGAAAATGTAATATATCACATTAACAAAATTCAACAAAGTAAGACGCAAAACATTTAGTCGCAATTACGGTAGTCAATGACAATGTCAAAATCCCAAGGCTTCACCATCATTGAGGACAACAAATGGCATGACCATATATCACCATATATCACATTAACAAAGTATGACACAAAAAATTCAGTCACAATATCAGTCAATGACGATGTCAAAATCCTGAGGCTTCACCATCATTGAGGACAACAAATGGTATGACTTTATGGATGTGGTCTATATACCTAGAACACTGTCTTGTGGAGAGCGACTCCCAGAAACTTCGAATTCCTTGAACAAGCTGATCCTTTTTTCTTGGCTTTGTCACTGTTTGCAGGTGATACTTCATAGAAGCCCACACATTCTCGATGGGGTTTAAGGCTGGCGAAGAGGCCGGAGTCATCATTACTTTATCCAACATTCCTTTTTCTGCCATCCATTCCTTAGTTGACTTCGATGTGTGTTTGCTGTCATTATCCTATGATAACAAAGATATTCAAATTTAAGTGCAAATCATAGCATACTGGACATCTACTACGTCTATATACTGTTAGCCTTTATTACATGAAAAACATCCAATTCATGCTATAAACATAACAAAATCTTTAATACTACAAAATAAATCACAATTAAAATACAGGGTTTATTTTCTATAGTTGCATTGTTAAAGTAACATACTTGAAATGATAAGTAAACTCTCACCTGGTACAATCGATACCCATTAGGAAATTTGTCTTCCACAAAAGGCAGAAAATTCTGTTGCAATATCCCCTGGTAAATCAGAGAGTCCATGACTCCATTAAAAATACAGATGTTTGTTCGTCCATGGTAGGAAATGCCTGCCCATACGTGGACCTAAAATACATGTCATTATATATGAATTTGAAATGTTCCTATTTCCCTTTTCTTGGAAAATACATTGAAGTAATATGTAAATTACAGAATGGGAAAGGAGTATTTTGACTGTAACTTCAACAATATTACCATCTGATAAAAGAGAAACAGATTATGTGCTTCTTTCTGTTTTGAAAAAGGGACATTTAATTTTAAAGAAATAATATATATTTTTAGTGTAAAATATGATTTATTTATCAGATTATCACACCTTATAAGCATGTTTGGGTTTGGGTTTTCTGGAACATTTCTTTTGGATTTTCGAGTCCTCCTGATGAAAGAAAAGCCTCCCATTTGCAGACATTTCAACAGTGCTCTCATCAACAAAAATCACATCTCTAAAGTCGTCCTTACGATTAAGTGAATCTAAGCACCACTGAAGCCGAATCTAAAAAAAATGAATTATTAAAAAACATATTACGGCAAGTACAGAGTATGTGAAATTTCTTACAGTAAATTTCATTTTGATTTACAAAGTTACAGGGACCTGGGTATTCTTGAGCAACAACCATAACATTAACTAATATTTATATATATATATATAGAGAGAGAGAGAGAGAGAGAGATACACAAGAAACAAATGCACATGCATTATTATATTCCAATCAACTATCATCTTTTTATATTATAACTTATACATATCATATGTGCATTAATCTACAGTAACATGTCTAAAGATCTATATTTTTCGTTCTTTAGCAGCTGTTTTGTAGACAATATATTCCTTACATTCTAAAACTGACTGAATATTTCAATGTCCAAATAAGTAACGTTGCCAAAAGCACATTATAAAAAATTACAGAAAAGCATTTATAATAATAATACATACCAGTTCGTTCTTGTTGCTGATGAGCTGACATGTCTTGGACACTACTGTCTTCCATCCGAGCTCCTGCCGTCTTTTTCTGATAAGGCTGCAAGACACTTTCAAGCCAAAGACCTCAAATAGTTTTCTTTTTAGTGTTTGGGTTGTAAGTTCATTGTTTTTAGAAATCCAACTGTCCATGAACTTCAAATGCAGAGGTTTCAATTTCACGGAATTAGCACCGACAGTCCTTGTTTTCCTTACAAAACCTCGGCCACATTTCCAGCGTTCTAAGAAATCATATATTCCCTGGCGACTTATCATGCAGTTGTGGTGAACACGTAGTCTTTCTCTAATTTTCTGGATAGGCATATTAGCTGCGTGGCATCGGACGATCGCTAATTTTTCTCCAGTTGACATTCTACCTCCTTTCGACGCCATTGTTCTGAATGATTCCGAAATATGATTTTTTTAACAAAACGAAAGAAAACCTGATAAACGGAGAAAACGATAAACGGAAAACCTGATAAACGCAAAACACGATAAACGCAAAACCTGATAGACGCAGAATACGATAAACGCAAAACACGATAAACGCAAAACCTGATAAACGCACAACACGATAGGATTACTGATAAACGCAAAACACGATAGGAAAAACGGAAAACCTGATAGGATACACGCACGATACGATAGGATACACGCACGATAGGACACGATAGAATTGTCAAGAATAACGTTGCGGGTACTGTAAAGTGTCTCGTTAAATTAGCAAGTATCTGTTCCCATGCAATTAAACCTCTGGGATGATCATACATAAAGTGCACCCAAGTGTTCAATATTCTTGATACGCTAGTTTTTGAAATTCTAAATATATCATGTAAATGTCCTTGATTCAGTCCGAGTCGGAGTCTCATGCATGCTAGTAGGAATTCATCCATGGGTCGTTGAAATCTTTTTTTCCCTGGTTTCTGATGGCCGTCTTGATGATATTGCCTATCGCCCATTGAACGTCTTTCACCTTCCCAGTAGTTTAATTTCTCTGCACCATGTTTTAGAAGGGTTAAAAAGAACAACCATAAAACTTGGAATGTAGGGAAGCCTGTATAAAAGCGAACTTTTTCATCACTGTTCCTGATGTCTTCATAAACCATTCGAGGCAAATCACACTGAACAGCAGCATCATTGGTTGAGCAGAAAGAGTGACCTGCTTGTACTCCCACATCAAATTTGACTTTGTAGGGACTTGTACTTTTATGTCCTGTATAAGGTTGTGACCTGCTTGTACTCCCACATCAAATGTTATTTTGTAGGGACTTGTACTTTTATGTCCTGTATTAGGTTGTGACCT